TTCTGCCGCCGGCTGCTTTGGGGACCTTGGCAAGTGTTTCAGCTCTCTGAGTTTCTTCTGTGAATTGAAGGACTGTAATCCAGCTGAGAGTTCCAATGCATCAAAAGCAAGTTTCCACCCCGGATCCCACAGCATTTTAGTTTTATGTCTTTAGACCTGAATTAACTGCATAGGCAGGGTCACAGGGAACCACTCAGGGAATGAGACGGGCTTCCCTCCTTTGTCACTCGGTAACCTTCTATCACCTGTTCTCAGCTGACTGAGAGTGGAGCGTCCACTTAAGAACATTCTCTTCGTCATAGCATGAAGCGGCAAACTTGGGTGGCTTGCTTTTAATTTTAGCTTCATTCATGTATGTTGGAAAAGTGATGGGTCCTGACATACAATGATTTGACCTACGATTTTTTAACTTTACGATGGTGTGAAATCGATACATATTCAGTGGAAACTGTACTTTGAATTTGGAATTTTGATCTTTTCCCCAGGTTAGGATATGTGATCTGATCCTCTCTGGTGATGCTGGGGAGCTGCGGGGACCCACAGATCCTGGTGAGCACGCGATCACCAGGATAAACAACCGATACGCTCATAGCCATTCTGCACCCAGACAGCCGCTCCGTTTTTCACTTTCAGTACCGTATTCAATAAATTACATGAGATATTCAACACTTGATTATAAAATAGGCTTTATGGGGCTTGCCTGGTGGCGCAGTGGTTGAGAGTCCGCCTGCCGATGCAGGGGACGCGGGTTCGTGCCCCGGTCCGGGAAGATCCCACATGCCGCGGAGCGGCTGGGCCCGTGAGCCATGGTCGCTGAGCCCGCGCATCCGGAGCCTGTGCTCCACAACAGTGAGAGGCCCACGTATTGGAAAAAAACAAACAAAATAGGCTTTGTGTTAGATGATTTTGCCCAGCTGTAGGCTAATGTGAGTGTTCTGAGCATGTTTTAAGTACGCTAGGCTAAACCATGCTGTTTGGTAGGTTAGGTGTATTAAATGCATTTTAATGTAAGTGTTCTGAGCATGTTTTAAGTACGCTAGGCTAAGCCATGCTGTTTGGTAGGTTAGGTGTATTAAATGCATTTTAATGTGAGTGTTCTGAGCATGTTTTAAGTACGCTAGGCTAAGCCATGCTGTTTGGTAGGTTAGGTGTATTAAATGCATTTTCAGCGTAACGATACTTTGAACTTACGCTGGGTTTATTGAGACGTAATCCCATCCTAAGTCGAGGAAGATCTGCATACCCCACTGTTTCTGGGTCCAAGAAATCCTACTGTGAATTGAACCAATTAGAGTCTTATAAAATGGCCTCGCATTTCATTGATTTGAGTTTAGAAAGGAGAAAGCAAGGGCTGCAGCTAAATAAAACGTGTGGCGGCAGGTGGGCAGCGGAAGGCCACCGTTCAGTGTCCTCAGGGACTCTCCTTTCTTGGGGCTTTTGATCATCAGACCTTTCATTTTCAAAGGAAAAAAATAACAGCAGCCTGTTGCTACTGGCAGTTTCCTTTTTCCACAGCAGGAAACAATCTGGTGAGTGTAAAGGAAGCCTTAAATCCTAGATCATTCGTGAACCTCTTTGAGTACCTACTGTGTGCCAGGCATCAGGGAAACAACACAGATGAGAGGGAGACGGTTTACTTACTTAATGTCTGGCATATCCTAGGTGCTTAATAAAAATTTCAGTAAGGAAATGAATACGGGCATTAACTGTTAGTAGTTTGGCTGTCCCATCACATCATTTTGATGACTCGTGTAACACTGGGTTACATTTTAAATCACCTGTCCTAGAAGCAGTCAGCCAACCAGGTCTGGGGCCAGGAGGAAACTACTGAGATGGTGGACTGGACACCTGCCGTTGGTCCAGCAGAGCGGCCGAGAGCATGGGCTGCCTATGTCAGAATCCTGTCTTCATCTCTTCCTAGTCACGAGACCTGGGCGAGTTCCCTAACCTTACTGTGCCGCATGGGGACAGTAGTGGGCCCACCCCATAGGGTTGTTTTGTGGATGAAACGTGTGCTCTGCTTGGTGCACTGTGGGTGCCCTCCAGATGTTAGCTGCCACCCTCTGCGTGTGGTGGTCACTCGACCTCCTCTGATGCATTAGGCACACGGGATAAATAAACCCATGAGCGTGATTGCTGGCCCTTCCTTTGCCTCCCAGGCCTTAGCAAGTAGGTCCTCATTGCTATCATTTGGGTATGAAAGAGCTCAGTCATCAGGTTGGAGTCTCAGCTTGGCAACTTTCTCCCTGCATGGCCTTGACCTTGGTCAAGTTGCTGAGGTTAAGGGAGGCTCAGAGAGGTTATCTGGACAATACAGGTACTTCCTTGACTGTGTGAAGGATTATGCTGAGCGAAGTGCCCAGCGCACAAGGCGTACTCCGTAAATGGTGGCATTGTTATCATCCCCATAAAAAGCACCTAAGGACCTGGCTTTTGTGGCCTGGGGTGCCAGAGCTGGTTGGTGGGGCCCCCACTGAAGTTACAGGCTAGGCCTGCAGGAGGCCCCGAGGCCGGCCGGCCGGCCTTGGGAAAGGGCCCACACAGTCAAACCATTTTAAAGGCCTTGTAGTAGAAAAAGAAACCAATTAAATAATACTGCCCCCCATAAAGGCTGAGTTTTAATGGGTTCTGTGGTGGGGTTTTCTCCGTGGCGGTCTCATAGCCATAGGTCTTGGGGAGACGGTCTGCCTCTATGGGGACAGTTTAATCTTGCACTGCGTGGGCATAATTTTACAAGTTTTACGGCTGTTTTGTCTCCCCTGAAGTGTTGCTGTGTCCTTGTGCGCTGAGGGCAACCTGCGTGCAATTAACAGTTTACCTCGTTTTGGGTGGAAATGAAAAGTGAAGTAATAAATTAAAGAAAAACACAAGGTGGCTTTTTCCCCTCTTGTGGAGACACCCGTGGAAGAACAAAGAACCAGTGTCTTCCTGGACCACTTACTCAGATGCTAATGGCTTTTATGTGTAGACATTTGCCCACAGGATCCCCTCCTCCCCAGAGAGGGCTACAGGGCACGTTGGGTGTGTTTGGGGCTTGTACTGCCTGCCCCAGGGCAGGGGTCAGCAAACGACTGCCCAGGGGCCACATCCCACCCACCGCCTCTTTTTGTGAAATGATTGGGAAAAGAAAAAAATCCAAAGAAGATTTCCTGACACATAAGAATTACATAGACTTCAGGTTTCAGGGCCAGAAATGGAGCTCTATCGGCACCTCATTCCGCCCGTTCGTTTGTGTGTCGTCTGGAGCTGCTTCTGCCCTGCCCCAGCTGAGTTGAGAAGTTTCCATATACTGTGTGGTGCAAAGCCAAATACTCTCTTGCCCTTTATGGAAAAGGTTGGCTGACCCTGCTCTAGGAGGTAAAGGAAGTGAGAGAAAACAGCTTCAAGTTTCTTGGAATTGATGATTTATTCTCAGGGTTTCCATGGGGCTCAAAGTGACAAGTCAAGGGGGAATTGCATGAGAAGGAGTCAGTTCTCCTGGAGACCTTCCAGAGGAATCGGCTGCTTGTGGAGATGGCTCTCCTCGCTATTCTGACCTCAGGTTGGCTCCTGAGCAGAGGGGCCTGAGTTATCCCCCTCCGGCCAGCCCTCCCCGTCTGCCTGGCTTTCCTGTAAGACTCCCAAAGCCTGGCTTGAGGTCTGGTAACTTCTCATCAGCTCCCTCGATGATTCGAGAATAAAGAAGTTTCCACCTTCCCTCCCAGGAGGCAAGCGCTTTTTGTCATAAATTCTGTGCAGACCTAGTTGATGATCTCCAATAGCTTCAGAAATTTGTAACAGACACTTTTTGGCCAGCCCCTGGCTTAAGCATTCTGCATATAGTAGTAACTCATTTAATCCTCACAACCAACGCAGGGAGTGAGGTCCTCTTCTCACCCCCATTTTACAGAGGAAGAAACAGGCACAAAAAGGTTAGGTATCTTGCTTAAGGTCACACAGCAGGTGTGAGGTAGAGCCAGGATCCAAACCCAGGCTGTCTGCTCAGGAGTGTCCTGCCTACTGCCACTACACTGGGGGAAATCTTTAGGCCTGTGAAAAGATCTGCTTTCCTTGTCCCCCCCCCCCCCCCCAGCCCCTACAATGTCATTCCACAGGAAAACGGCCTCCTGTATGAGAAGGAAGCACTCGTTCCTTCGTTAATTCATCCCTCCCCCCACCTTCTCCCTCCCTCCCTCCCTCCCTTCAACAAATAATTGTCGGGAGGGTGACTATGTATTAAACTCTGTGCAAGGGGCTTCACAAGTGAGGGGGTTTTGTGAACAAGAAGAATGAAAAAAGAATCTTTTTTCCTTTGAAAAACAGTTCTTAGTATCCTCAAAGCTGTTGGGTTTTTGAGAAGTTCACTTAATTCCTCCTCTTTTATTCATTGTAAGTGCTCATCCTTACAATGAGAACCATAAACCGTAAATCTCATCCAGAACCGTAAACCCTCATCCTTTCTGCCTCAAGCTGATACTGTCATTAACAATAATGTAATGTACAAGAGGCTTTGGGGAGGCCGGCCCTCTGACTCACCCAGTGGGAAGAGCCAGCCTGGGGAAGGCCCTGCGCCGTTCTCCCCCTTGACGCCCCGAAAGAGGGCTCCCGCAGGGGCTCGGGAGCCAGGGGGAATAAGAGCTCGTAACTGATTGTGGAGGGAGAAGGCTGCCGAATTTTAAAAATATCACCAAGTCTGGCGTTGGTAGAACTCGCTGTCTTGGGACAGCAGTTACAATGTCATCTGCAAAAGTTCAGGGTTTTAGGTGCCTGTCTTGTTTTCCGAAGGATTTGCTGGGCAGAATTTTCAGCATTATTTATGTCCTTCTGGGTGTGGACAAGCCTGAAGGCCAGGGAAGACCCATGGGCCCCCATGGCACCAGGGAAAGGATCAGCCCAGCCGGAAGCCTGTTCTCTCTCTTCCTTCCCCAGCTGTTTCTTCTTCCCTCCTCTGTGCCCTTTTCTTGGTCAGACAGCAAACGTTTGTTGCTTATTTCTGATGAGCCTTCACTCTCTCTCCTCAGTCATGCGGAGGAGCCCCTTCGGTGTGGACATCTGCTGCCGGAAGGGGTCCCGAAGCCCCCTGCAGGAACTCTACAACCCGACCCAGGTAAGCCCTGGAAACGTCCTTGCTTCTCATCTTGGTCTCCATGTGTCAATTTTTTGGGGGGCGGAGAGGGATTGAAAAACGCCCAAATTCTGGTCTTTGGGGATTTGAAACTTCCCTCCACTGCCTGGCAGTTTCCCTTCAGTGGTTGCTTTCTTGGTTACCCTCTTGCTCTAGAATGGCTCTGAAATTCTAGTGAGAGGTATTTAGTGAGAGGGACAGCTTGGTAGAGTGCGGGGCAGAGCTTTCAGACCTGCCCAGGTTTGGGATCCCTGAGAGCCAGACAGTTGCAGGTGCCAGGAAGGGGACTCTGAAGTTGCAGAGCCTGCCAGGCTGTGCAGTCTCCCCCGTGGCACCCCCAAAGAAGGCTCACGTGGGGGTGAACTCAACACCCAGCTCCCGTATCTGGTTATTAGAGCCCAACGATGTCCCCAAGAGTTGCACCTCACTGCGTCAGTTTGACAGGACTCCCTTGGGTGGGGAGACTTTTTGCTTAAGTGACCGTCACAGTAAGTTGGACTTGATTATGAAAAGAGTTCCTCTCTGAGCAAAATAAGCTCCAACCAAGGTAAGGTGCCCTCCGTGGAGAGCTAGGAGCAAAGGGAGGAGGCCTGGTTGCCACGGTGATAGCCTTGTTGGTGTGTGTCGGTCTTGACGTGGAGACTCCAAGGCTGGTCCTTTTGCGGGAATATGAATTAGCTTGTGATGCCAAGAACTGGTGAATGAACAACTAGTGGCCCATTAGCTGACTTTGACAGCTGGGGAGAAAGGGGGGAAAATGTACTGCTTTGGCTGTAATCCTTGAACTTTATTTTGTATCAAATTCTTGATTTAGTATTTCTGGGGACCAAGGTGCTTGTTAGAGGAAGAAACTGCTTGGTTCCCCAAAAGTGATGAATTCCCAGAAGTCTTGCAAAGGGATGAGCCTGAGAACTTTCTGATTCCACATCTCTATCCTGTCTTTCACCTGTACTCCCGTCTGGAAAAATGGACTCCTGAATTTGTGCAGAATGGGTGGCCTAACCATGTTAGTTCACTCCCCTATCCACCCACCACTTTGGAGCTCAGTGTGATGGGGCCAGATTCGCCAGGTAATTGCAAACTCAGATTGCCTGAGGCCTCCTTTACTGGGTTCTCTAGTGACGCAGCAGGGAATTTGTATTTTGTTTTGGTTTTGTTTTTTTTAATTTTTATTGAAGTATAGTTGATTTACAATGTTGTGTTAGTTTGAGGAATACCGTATAGTGATTCAGTTATACATATATATATATATATATATATTCTTTTTTTAACATTCTCTTCCATTATAGATTATTACAAGATATCAAGTGTAGTTCCCTGTGCTATATACAGTAGTTCCCTGTTGGTTAGTTTGTATTTGGGTTTTGTTTTGTGCCCAAATATCTGATTATGACAGGCTAGTCTCCCAGCCTGTTCACACATTGGTCTTAGGGAAGAGGATTTCTGGTAAGCCATGTTGAAAACAACACATGCTATTGAGATGCAAAGCATCCTTCTCTTTTAGTTGACATCCTCTGTTCTCAGATCATTTTCTACGTCAAAACCAAATCACTGAAGTGCTCCTTCTTTCCTGAGGAAATTTTATGGGCAGCATGTGGGTGTCACGGGAGGAGCTATTTCTGAAGTAGCTGCCCCTGTGGACAGGAAGTTCATGGACTGTGTCTGCGCCTGTCACTATTGTGTCCCTGTAGTGGGTGACCCCAAATATCTGTGACTGAAAGAATGAAAGTCCAGGTTTAAATTCCTCCTTCACCTCCAGCTGGTTGTGCAACCTTGCATACATGATGAGTCCGCTATAGGAGTCAGCTTTCCCATCTCTCTGGAACGTTGGGAGGATGAAATAATGCTGATGTGTCAGGGGCTATGTAAACATGATCCGTCATCACCACGGTCATGAGAATGGCTTCACTCGTGGAAACCTTGATTTTAAGAGTCAGACCTGGGTTCGAAGCCTGGTCTCCTCATTTATCAGCTGTGTGAATGAGCACAAGACATGTAACCCCTCAGAGACGGCCTTTCTCCTTTATAACACGGTGCTGACAATTCCTGCCTTGCAGCCTTCCATGAGAAGGTGTGCCTCGCTCAGTGCCTTTTATGGAGTTTGCTCATTCCCAGATTCATTCATGCATTCACTCATCCATTTCTTCACACACTCTTACGAGCGCCCACTGTGTGTAGCACAGTGCCAGGCACTGGCCACAGAAGGGTGAGCAAGGGGCTGTGTGTGGTTAGCCTTCCGTGTCTGGTTCTCCTCGTTATCCCAGAGCTGGCTTGAGTGGGTTATCTGGTGAGGGGGACCCTGCTTGGTCCATTTGTAAACCCATCAGAGGAGAGAGAACCTTCCTGGGTAGAGCTCATCCCTTCCATCCGGTGATGTTGGGTTCAGATGCTCACTTAGAAGCCTAGGACCCGGGAGGGAAGATGGGGCTGGAGAGGCAGCTCAGGGAGCCAGTTGTGAGAGCCTAGGTGGGTGAGTCATCAGCCTCCATCAGGCACTCGTGGGCAAGCTGTCTGGCCCTTTTTGCTGGTAGCCAGGAAAATGTCCCTGCAGGAGGATCTCCCTGTTTCCTCGGGATGTTGTCCCGGGATGTTTTTTCTTAGGCTGGTTTCCTTTACAAGCTGCAATTATGTTCTCCTCCCATGCACGTTCCGTCGGTGGCGCTTCTCAGAGAAACCGTCTTGGTGACCTTTGGGGCTGCCGTGGGCCGGGGAGCTCAGAGGAGAGAAGGGCGCAGGAGCTTCTGTTGAGTGGAGTAGGGTTTTGTGTCCCGGAGACATTAGCAAACATTGCATCCGTTGGGGCTTGGTTGTGGTTTCTCGTGTTCCCCTACCAGCCGAGCTGTGGAAGCCGCTAAGCCTGGATTGATGTTATCACAGAGGCAGATGACAAGCCCTGTAATTGCTAGAAACCGAACTGCTCCCAGAGATGCCGTTTCCCCATTTTATGTTGGTTGGTGATTTGCGTTCGATATATAATGGTGAAAATAGGAACTGTTTATTTTAGATGATAAGAAAACCAACATAACGGCGGGAAGCACCATCTTAGTTAGCAGGTACTGGTACTGTAGGCCAGATGCTATCTAGGTGCCTACAAACATCTTGTGGGGTGCTGGTATTAAGCCCCGTGCTAGCTAGTGCACCCCCACTTTAGGTATGGGAGAACAGGCTGAGGAGCTTGTCACACAGCTTGTAAGAAGCAGAGGAAAGATTCAAATCCAGGACGGACTCCAGATGCATTTATCTCCATGCTGTATTCACTGTCACCAGCAAAGTTCTCTTGGCAGGAATTACCCCATACAAAAAAAAAAAAGAGAGAGGAAAAAAAAATCTTATCCAGATTTTCACTGGACAAAGTCTTAAAAGCTCCCTTAGGAAAATTGGCTCTAATCCGATTTTAGTGTCCAAGGTTTTCTTATTTTAGTGCCTCACAAACCCCTAACCATTAAAACAACAATTGGTGAAAAAAAGTTTGTAGTTGATATTCTTAGAAAAACTGCACTCTGATGTCTTATAATTTTCCTGGTTCTCTGCTGTCTTCCTGGCCCCAAAATAAAACGTAATTGCTGATCAGATCAGCTGGCGTCAAGTCACCGAAAGTTCAGGAGCTGCCAGCTGCATATTTGTGGGCCGAGCACATCTGTGGGCCGCCCGGCTCAACTCAGACTGCAGGGCAGAGCTATGCCGTCAGCCATTAACAGGGCATAATTGCGCCTAAAATGCCAGCGAGGGTGAGACAGCTTGTCCTGCCTCGCCCACCTCCCGGTGCTCTCGTGGGTTCCCTGAAGTCTTCCCAGCATCACTCATGTGGTTCAGCCCTGCCCCGCCTGGTTCTTTCTTTAGCGTTTATACTTGCTCTGTGATTACCACGTTCTGAGAATACAGATACTCAGCCCAGGGGCTGACCAGGAACTCCTAAGTACTGAGTCTAGGAGGTCTTCACTCATGCACCAGTGGCGTGCGGGCCTTCCTAGGGGCCTCTGAGGACCAGTCAATATAATATTTTGACCAGTCAACATTTTATTATAATAATAAAATTGGATCTTTATTGGTGCAATCTTCAATGTGTTAAAAGTAAATTTACTTCTCCATAAGGTAGGCTCAAGGAGGAAGGATGGAGAGAGGGAGAGAAGGGAGGTAGGAAGGAAAGAAGGAAGGGAGAAAGAAAGGAAGAGAGTTACTGTTCATTGAATGTATAATACACATCAGTGACTCTTCTAGGTGTTTTCCACACGTATCTAATGGAATCTTCACAACAGTCCTAAAATCTGATAGCCCCATTTTTCAGATAAGTTAACTAAAGCCCGGAAGGACTGAGCAATTTGCCAGGGTCCCACAGTCCCTAAACGGTAGTGCCGGCTCTATCTGACCTGGCGAGATAGTGGGAGGGAAAGAGCCTATCCCGTTATCTTTCCCAGGGGGAAAAATGCTCCCTTGAGGTTCTTTTTCATGGTGACTCAAGCTGAGATCTGGGACGTGTTCCGGATAGTTGTAAAATTCCCAAAGGCAGGGGCCAAGGCTCATGGAGTGGTATGGAATGCACAGTAGATGTCCAATAAACAATTGCAGATTTTTTTTTTTTCTCACTGAACATGGTATTTTTGGAGGGGCCTTTGTCTCCTGGCTGGAGCCAGACTAAGCAGGAGTCACCCTCAAGAACTCTGCTGTAGGATAGCACAGCTTGGTGACATTTGGAAGTTGGGGTCTTTGATTAAAGTTTTAGATTGAAAAAAGCTTGAATTGTCCAAGGGAGGGTGGGAAACTCTTCTAGCTCCAACCTAAATAGTTTTCTGAGCAAGGCTTGCCAAGATTCGTTTTGTCTACAGATGCTCATAGGATAAACAGAGGAAAAAGACGTGGGGAAGAGAGGCGTGTAGGTAAGAGAACATGACAAGTGCTGTGTGATCGAAGCATTCTGAAAGGTTATGGGAGAATCAGGAGTGAGCAGTTAACCCTTTGAGGCACAGGGCACAGTGCGAGGCTTT